TATAAACCATAATCATATAATCCAAAAGAGGCTCAGAAAAAAAGCTTAATTTGTATGTATATTTATTAACAAGTTTACTGTTAAGGGCAAGCAACACTGCAAATATCTCAGATATATTTTCAGAATAGGAAAATACTCTAAAACACAGTAAAGTTAACCACTGATGAAAAATCATATGATGAAAGTTTATCAATCAAACCCTTAGAAAACCTAAAGGGAGTTTAACTGTGGAATAAATGAATAGCTTGTTAAATTGGTCTCACAACAATGAAGAATAACAAATCAACATTTACATTTTCAATCAAGCTAGGATATTTTAATTCTTAATAATTTATGCAACACTTAGACAGATGGCAGAAGTGTTCCATAACTGGTATAATTCTTATAAGACAGCCTGGAGTTTGTTTCAACTCATGGTAGATGTGTAGACTTCTATGAAAACATAAGCTGTAACTTCATAAACTGACAAAAAATCCCTCTGTTAAAAGAAAAGTGGTTCTCATCAGTGGAGGTTGTGAGATCACTGAATAAAATTTAAAAAAAGAAATAGCATTACATGTTTGGAATGTATCAAGAGAAGTTTTGGGTTTCCCTGGCGGCTCAGACAATAAAGAATCTGCCTGCAATGCATGAGACCTGGGCTTGATCCCGAGGTCGGGAAGATCACCCGGAGAAGACCCTCCAGTACTCTTGCCTGGAGAATCTCATGGACAGAAAAGCCTGGCGGGCTACAGTCCATGGGGTCGCAAAGAGTCGGACGCCACTGAGCGGCTAGACTAACACCTTCACTTCTCAATAAAAACTTTACAAAAATGATTAACTACAATAGGCCATATTGATGTTATTTGAATTTTACCTTACCTGTTTTCACTGGAAGAGATTCAAAAACATTTTTCCTCAAATCACTAAAAATTCTTTATATGTTCAACATGGTTTACCATGTTTTAATTTCACCAGAAAATAGGAAAAGCTATGGGAACTGCTGTGCATATGACTGGACATTAAAGGGCAGGTAGGTTTTAACTATGTCTCTCATGTAATAACTTACAATAAGAAAAGACCAAATATGTGGGTGGAAGACTTCCTTATGCTAGTTGCTATTTCTCTTTGGTTTGCAAATAAGTCCTTTATTTAAAGTAACTATGGGACTCAAGCCTATGCTGATTTAACTATTAACTAACTTTTACACCTGTCTTTCAGGGTTCAGACAATGACCTCTGATTAATCTGAGTTTGATATTATCCTTAACTTGCTGTAGGCTATAAGCAGGTGCAGCAACTAGCTCTTAAAGTGGCATGATCTAATTGTTTTCACATAAACTAATATTAGGGTTTCCCAGGTGGCTCCGAAGTAAAGAATCTGCCTGCTAATGCAGGAGACTCAGGTTTGAGCTGGGATCGGGAAAATCTGGAGAAGGGAATGGTAACCCACTCCAGTACTCTTGCCTGGGAAATCCCATGGACAGAGGAGTCTGGCAAGGCTCCAGTCTACAGGGTTACAAAAGAGTTGGATGTGACTTGGCGACTAAACAACAACAATAATCTAAATATTATGATTGTATCATGTCTTATTTGCTTTTCTTATGATAGTAACATACCTGAGTGAATACCATTCAGGCCAAAAATCAATGAGAAGAAAGCCACATGTTTATGCATCAAATCTGAGCTAAGATATTTAGTATACAGAAAATACAAGAAAATCTGTAGTATGTGAACAGGCAAAACAGACTACCTATACAAAGGGATAACTGTCATACTGATATGTACTGTCTCTCCCAAGCTACTAAATGACAAAAGGCAAAAGATGATCAGTTTCCAAGTGTTTTGAAGGGAAAAGGACTAAAACCCCTGGCAAGCTCTCTTGTGCAAAGACAAATGAGAGATATTTTAAAATATGCAGATTGAGGTAATATAACTTTCAATTTCTATTTCTTGAAAAAAAAAACTTGAAAATATACGCCTGGATATGAACAAAATGCAGAGCTCTGAATGCAAAAAAAAAAAAAAAAAGTAATGATTATAGTCAGTGAAGAAGAGAGGTTTGATTCTTCTTGGTGGAGGAGGTCATGCCATGTGGGGACATTCTATTTTACTTTGTATTAAAGACACCTCCAAACACAGATACTGGTATTATGTATGTCAAAAAGAAAAAAAAAATCTAAGTAAATTAAAATTCATGTAATAAGTGGAAAAAAGGAAACAAGTAAATTGAGTGAGAAAGAACACAGAACCAAGGGACAAAGAGGTTTTGTTCTTAGGCTAACCTACATTCACTTAATACAGGCACGGCACACTTACAGTGCATCCCACTATAAGGCTACAGGATCAAGCTATTCTCTGTAACCATATATTTACAGAAAGGTTCATTCCAGATTGAAACACTAAGAAACACATTTTTCTCCTTCATGGAGGCCTGAGAAAGTCTTGTTTCCCTCCCCTGCTGAATAGTCATACCTAGCATCTAGCACCCTCTTAGACCCCAGCCATTTCATGGTAGTACTTGGATGAAGAGAAAATGTAGAGAGGTTAGCTAGAAATTGGTGGCTAGGTATGAGACCAAGGGTCATTCAGAGCCGCAGCCATTCTGAAATCCTAGCCCACTCCCCCTTTATTTTTTCCCCCAGGCCCAAGGAGTATCTCTTCTTTTCAGCCAGTATTGGCTGAAAAGTTTGAACTTACATATATCGCACTTTGCTAAATTTTTAGACAGACTTTTTCTTATTTCTTTTATCTCTAAATATTTTCTTCTCTTCAACTCATTAGGGAAAATAAGGGCACACTGATACAAAGGATGAAAATTAGGTAAAATTATATTTCTATGAAAATTAGACTTTACCTACCCTGGGGCCCAGGGGAGATTGGGTAATGAACAGAGTTGTGATTCTGTTTAGCGGCTATGGAGAAAGGGCCAAGGGTAACTTTGGTAAGTCAGCAAGCTGCGGGACTGTGGGCAAGAGGAGAAAGGTGGTAGAATAAGCTTAATTTGCTAAAGAGAGACAAAGGAGAAGAGCCCAGAAAGAGATGTCAGAAAGGAAGACTGGTTCAAATCGAACCTGGGGAATTAATGAGTGTTTGGAGAGTGTCTGTATAAATGAAATATTTTCAAACTTATCGACTACACAGAATATAAATGTTATTAATATATCAGGAGCCATCATTTAATAATCCAACTGGGCAAACATAACCAAAGACCAACAATATCTAAACTATTATGCATTCGATTTTGTTCCTAATTCACTGGCGTCAACTTGAGATTAGGGCATTACTGCAAATGGTACTATCATTATTTCTCAGGATTTCATGAATATTTGGTTCTATTATCATTTAATTAACATGGGAATCTGCCATCAGCCTACAGGGTGAGACAAAAACACGTGCCAGGTTGCACTTTTCTGAGTTCCAAAATGTACAAAACACCCAGAAATGCAAACAGGATGCTGCAGAAAAGCCTACAGGAATAAAATAAATTTCAAAAGTATATAACCAAATGAGTAGATTATTCAAATAGCTTGAAATAATTAATTTTCTATAATTGCTAACCTTCCTTCTTTTTTTTTTTTAAGTCTATGACCATGTCCTAAATATGCCAGCATCACGGTAGGTAATGGCTACTTTCACAATGTTCACAATGTTCATTCCTCATTGTTCATCCCACACAGCCCGGTAGACTCTAGGTCTAGTTTTATTAGACGTACTTCAGTTTGGTAGAATCAGCTCTGGTGTCAGCACCTCTCATCCCAGACTGAAGATGTATCTAGAAATGTGGCTAAAACATAATTTTCTTATTCCCAATATTTTAAATGCAAAGGGCAAAAGTAGCATTACTTGATACAATGATTTGGTGACTCTAGTTCTTGCTGCTGCCATCTTTTTTTTTGTCTACTGTGAGCCTTTCTCAACCCATTTCCTTGCTCCTACTGGAGAAGGGGGTTGTGAGTACTTTGCTGCTATAGCCTTCTATTTTTAATATTAATGAATAAAATTCACATAATGTAATGGCTACTCTTTTAGCATACTCACTAAAGGATAAGAGGAACACACTATGATTATGTACTTTTCATGATTATGCTGATGATTAATTCCTCAAACACAAGTCTTTTCTGAAGCCCCACACATTAAGTTACCAAACATGCCCAATCAATTATATGGGCTTATTACAAACAGAAAATGCAATCAGTTTGTCTGTGAGAAAAATACCGATTATCAATAAAATTCAAATACAGCTTAATACTTTTTTATTTTCTTAAAAATGGTATTTTAGTAAAGTTTTCTCACAATAGGAAATGCTGAATTGTATGGAGTACTTGAAAGATTTATTATGTGAAAGGATAAGAAACAATAATATGTTTAGTAAGAGATATACTCTAGTCTATTTTATATGAATCTTTGAAGTGGGAACCAGCAACCGAAGTATATTTCATACATACAAATACTATGTACAGAGATTAAAAGGGAAATTTAATTGTCTTCCTTCAATACTATCTTCTATAATTATTTTTAATAAATAGAGACCAAAATTATTAAACGTATTTTGTTTTCTGGTCATAATAGAAGAGGGGTAAAAGACTAGATTTCACTTCTATAGTAATAAAGCATAGTAATCTACAGGAGAAATGAAGCATAATGGCCTACTTTCACTATTACAAAACATTCACTCTAAAAATCATGATGCCAGTGCACAAAATAACGCTCAATTTCACAAGGGTGTATATCAATTTGCATAAAGATGTTAAGTACTTTATCAAAAGTATAAAGCTTCTTAAATTAAAAATCATTCTATTCATAACACTAATATAAATAAGTACTTATAAAAATGATACAGCATCTTACTTTCCCGTATCTTAGCAAAAATTGGTAGTTTTTCTTCATTAAGGTTAATTTTTAAAGAGATATAAAAGGTAGGTTACAAGAGTTTTCTACAATAACATTTTGTGTCACTATAACCAGTACCATTTTGTGCCTTCTTAACAGTTTTAGCAATGTAGAAATAGATTGCCTTACCGTTGGTGCTGTATCTACATGGTGGTTACAAGGCTTTCTTTCTATGCTCATAATCCCTGTGAAATGAAAAGATTGTGAATATTTGCTTATTATACCTAAACATTATTTTAAAAACATTTGTGTCAGCAAGACATAACTCCTACAGCTTATAAGGAAAAAAACCTCACTTGGAGGGCAGAATCTTTTAAAGTGGCATCATGAATTCTTTGGTCAGAAACAGTTGGAGAGTTCAGTTAACTAAGAGATCTGACTGAAGGTGAGCAAAGCCGATTTTCCCATTCAACGGTCTTACAGAAACAGCACAAGATGTGTCCTTACTCTGTTCTCAGCTCAAAAATTATACCATTTTCTTCCTCTGCCGCATTTCTTAGATCAAAGTTTTGCTTTGGTCTTGAGGTCATCAAGTTTTCATAGAGAAATATGAAAAGTCTACGAAAAGAATCACTTTCTTATTTTCTCAAAAAGAATAAATAAATCTGTTCAAATTTCCCTTTGATCATCTGACTTCCTACTATGATAGTCAGCTGTTATATTCAATCACCACAGAGGTACTTGTAGAAAAATAGTTCCCCTCATTCTCTCCTTTAAAATGACAATACAGACTGCTAACCTTGAGAAAAATCATTTTATCATGCATAGATTTATCTTTTTATTCCCACTGTCCTCTACTACCTTCCTTTGTAATAAACATCTTCTGAGAATGTAACACACTGCATCTCATCTGTAAAGATACTGGTTCAAAGTCAAGGTCAAGTTTAAAATGAACACAGGTGTGGCTCTCACTTACTTTTCAATCTCAGTCAGCAAAGCAACATGTGAGGAGTTTAATAGTTTGTTTAAATAATGTTAAAAGTTGTCACACAGGGATGGTTAGAAGTGAGAACTGCAAAGCACTGTCAATAGCAAATAGCACAATTCTTAGCTGAAACAAAACACTAGGTACTCTCATCTGTAGGCCTTTAACTCTTAGCTGTAACTGTAACTCTTAACTGTAGGCCATTTTTCTTAAAGGACAATAAGTACATGAGACGAATACAAAGAAATCGCTTTTGATCACTTTTGCAAGAGTATGTTCAAAATGAACAAAGTGATTTAAACATGGTTTAAAAAATAATTTGTTTCGTTTAAAAAAATATTCTCAATATCTACTGTTAGCCAGTGAAGTATAAACTACTATATTCACTCAACTAATATTTATTCCAGTTCCAAATGGCTGTTTGGTACTCAGTGAAAAAGAGAAACTACAACAGGGAGCTCAGCTCAGTGCTCTGTGATGACCTAGAGGGGTAGAATGGTGGGGTGGGAGCGAGGAGATACATGTACACACACGGCTAATTCAAGGTGTTGTACGGCAGAAATTAACGTGACATCGTAAAGCAATTATGCTCCAGTTTTTAAAAAACTATATAAAAAATAAAAAAGATAAGATGATAAAGGATAAATTACGATTTCTGACCTTAAGAGTCTAGTAAAACAGGTGTCCTTCTTTGAAGAAATACTAGATAGCAAATTAACAGCTCTGTCTTAAATGTATTAATAATAACTGTGTCTTTAAAGTAATTGTGATGGAAAGACACTTTTATTTATATATAACACTGGCCTTGAATAAACAATTGAAAAACCCAACTAAAACATATTTGAAAATATTCACATAATGCTGACTCTTCCTGTAGACTTTAAGGACACTGAAGTGTACAGAACTCATGGTGAAATCCTCGTCTCTCCAGCCCCCACATTCTCACAGCCCTCTCTAGCTGCAACCACGAAGAACAGTCTAGCACGACACTCTGGCTTTTAAATGAGAGTGGTCATACCACAGGGTTCAGGAATTAGCAACATCTTACGTATGTGTTCTCACTACTATAATCTGACTGCCATAAAACTGGCCTAGGCTGCTTACTGATTTTAAACTTCTTATCCAATTAGAAAGTAATTTCAAAGTGATGGAAAAAATAAAAAAACTAAAACCTCCTAAAATCTACATCCTTAGCTTATGAAAGTACAAAGAAAAAAAAATACATATTTTACAGTTCAACTTCAAGATAGGAATGTGTTGAAAACTAGAATTTTAAAATGGATTATCTATAGATATAAGCTTAGTTTTAAATTTAGATTGCCTATGAAAATTATATCATTTGGAAATAAATCATATACAGAAGAATATACAGAAAGGAATAAGCGTAAGGAAAAACAATCCCAAATAGTTTTCTATTTTAAGTAAATTTTACCTAAAATATCTATATTTATATTTTATTTCACTTTTACCTGGTCATACATTCCAGATGTTTCTGTGAAAGTATTTCTTGGATGGAATTAACATTTAAATTAGCAGACCTTGAATAAAGTAGATTGCCCTCCACAATGTGACTGGGCTTCATCAAGCCAGCTGAAGGCCTGAAGAAAAAGACTAACTGCTTTCACTAGGGTGTGCCTAAGCGTGTCTTTGTTATAATTAATCTTTTTGGGGACTTGATAAGCCCTTTAATCTGCAGAATTTTACCATTCTTCTGCTCTGGGAAACTTTATTTTATTTAATTCTTCACCTCATTTTATTTTTACCTTCTTAATTTTTATCTCTTGAACATTGTTCCACTTAATCTTCTAGGTGAGCATCTTCTTTTTCACTTTGTTTAATGCTTTTAAAACCTGAAATCATGTTTAGTTCCTTTCCAGAGGCCTACAAAGACTAAGGCACAGGCAATGGCACAACCTGGACATATCTCAGAGGATAAAGTTTATTTCCTGGGATCTCACAGCCCATGGATCAGGCACGTGGGTGGGATGGGAGGACTGATTGCATCCTCTCTGATGCTGAGCAAAGACCTGTGCACAGAAAACAGGCCTCTTCTTAAGATGTGGGCAGAAAATGGGGTTTCCAGAGGTCACTGAGGTCTTTCAGTCAGCAGAAGCTATAAATCCTTTGTTGATGCTCAGTCAGTAAGTTGTGCCTGACTCTTTGTGACCCCAAGGACTGCAGCACCCCAGAATACCTATCCTTTATTATCTTCCGGAGATTGCTCAAATTCATGTCCATTGAGTTGGTGATGCCATTGCACCATCTCATCATCCTCTGTTGCCCCCTTTTCTCTGGGTAACTGGCAGTTTAATGTGGGTAGTGCACCTAGGGTCTGGCAGATCCTATGGACCACAATGGTCCTCAAAGAGGGGCCAAATACACCAAGGGCTCCATCCCCCTGGAGGAATCTGCTTCCAGGGCCACTTACTGGGAGATGGCTGAATCTGCTGTGGATGAGACTTGAGAGAAGCCTACTCCTGTGCTTCAGCAGAGAAGCAACCGGGGCACAGGTTCCCTTTCACTGTTATGCTACAGCTCAGACATCCAGAGTAGAGCTGGGACCACAGTCACAAGCCTGCAGGGAAACCTAACTCTGGTAAGGAGTTTCAGTAACTTAGATCATGGCATCCGGTCCCATCACTTCATGGCAAATAGATGGGGAAACAGTGGAAACAGTAGCTGACTTTATTTTTGGGGGAGCTCCAAAATCACTGCAGATGGTGACTGAAGCCATGAAATTAAAAGATGCTTACTCCTTGGAAGAAAAGTTATGACCAACCTAGACAACATATTACAAAGCAGAGACATTACCTTGCCAACAAAGGTCTGTCTCGTCAAAGCTATGGTTTTTCCAGTAGTCATGTATGAATGTGAGAGTTGGACTATAAAGAAAGCTGAGTGCAGAAGAATTGATGCTTTTGAACTGTGGTGTTGGAGAAGACTCCTGAGAGTCCCTTGGGACTGCAAGGAGATCCAACCAGTCCATCTTAAAGGAAATCAGTCCTGGGTGTTCATTGGAAGAACTGATGTTGAAGCTGAAACTCCAATACTTTGGCCACCTGATGCGAAGAACTGACTCATTTGAAAAGGCCCTGATGCTGGGAAAGATTGAAGGCGGGAGGAGAAGGGGATGACAGAGGATGAGATGGTTGGATGGCATCACCACCTCAATGGACATGAGTTTGAGTAAACTCCGGGAGTTGGTGATGGACAGGGAGGCCTGGTGTGCTGCAGTCCACAGGGTCACAAAGAGTCAGACACCACTGAGTGGCTGAACTGAACTGAAAGTGAAAGTCACTCAGTCATGTCCGACTCTGCAAACCCATGGACTATCCAGTCCATGGAATTCTCCAGACCAGATTACTGGAATGGGTAGCCTTTCCCTTCTCCAGGGGATCTTCCTGACCTAGGAATCGAACTGGGGTTTCCTGCATTGCAGGCGGATTCTTCACTAGCTGAGCTACCAGGGAAGCAGTAAATAACCCTATACAACTGGTGAAAGTAAAAGTCACTCAGTCATCTGAACAACTCTTTGCGACCCCATGGACTGTAGCCTTCCAGGTGCCTCTCGCCATGGAATTCTTCAGGCAAGAATACTGGAGTGGGTAGCCATTTCCTTCTCCAGAGGATCTTCTCAACCCAGGGGTTGAATCAAGGTCTACCGCCTTGCAGGCAGATTTTTTACCATCTGAGCCACCAGGCGAGTCAACTAGCAGCACCTCTGATAACAATAGGAAAGTCAGAGAATCCCTTAAACTAAAACAAACAACAAACAAAACTCGACAACTATAAAGAATTTTAACAAAGTTAACTAATAAACAACAAAGATAACCTCATTTTAAAGCGAAGAAACAGCCGCTTTCAGAAAGCAAATCTGAAGATGGGGTACAAAAACAAGGAGCAGCAGGACAATCGCTGAAACCCAGGTAGTTAAGACACACACCCTCCAGATCCACTTGTGTGACTGTCAGGATCTGATTTAATTCATTTTTGTATTCATTGGGCCTGCTCCAACTGCTTGAAACACAGAAGGTCCTCAAGAGTTAATGCAAACGTTAACTGAATGAATTAAGCTATGCCACTGGCTTCAAATTCTACAATGCAGTGTTAACTGTGTACATCACTCATCAGAATGTTTGAATTAATGTTTAGGACTCTTTTTAAAAAGGTTAATTAATGACTTCCTTTGGTGATGTTTCTAAACCTACTGTAAAACTGAAAAGTATCACTTAAAAATTTTCCTGATTTTCCAGACATTAA